AAAAAAAAAAAAAAAAAAAAAAAAGAAAAGGAAAGAAAATGGGCCAACAGATTCCAAAGCAGTGCCCAGGTGTGCAGTGGAGAGTGATGGACTTAGGTCAAATTTAATCCCTGCTGGAGGGATTAAAACAGCCCCTGAGCTGTGTGTGAGGCCCATCCAGGTGGATTCATTCCCCTATAACACATTTCTCAGGAGGCCTGCAAAAGAAGAGCTCCTGAAAGAAGACTGGGATGTTTTCAGCATCCCTGGGAGGATTAGCAGGAGTGCTCTGCTGTCTAATGCCCTCCTGGAGGTGTGGAAGAAGAAGGCAGAACATCCCCTCCTTTTGTATCTCTGAGGATTGCAGCCTAGGACAGAACTCTGGGCTCAGGACCAGATTGGCCATTCAATCCTAACAACACCAGTTTCCACACTTGTGCTGTAAATTGGATTATTTGCCCTTATTTTCTCTTCAGTCCCTGTTGGACAGGCGGCCCCAGCTCCCAGCAAAGCCTTTCACTACTGAAACAAAGAACCTACAACAGGCTGGGTGCTGCTTTCAGATAACCAACACATCTTCCTTAGAGTGCTTCCATTTAAACCATTTAAACCCATCCAAACTGACAAAACTCTGCAGTGTTAAAGAGATCTTTTTTGTCCACATCCTCTCTCAAACAGGGGGTTCAACCCAAGACACCAGAGGAGGGATTTCCCCTGGGATTTTTCTGCTTCTGTGAAGACATGCATAAATTTACTTGAAAGAAAGGTGTATGAAAAGTGCACACAACTAAGCCAGAGACTGGCTGCTCACTTCTGATGCTCTTTTTGGCCTCCTTTTGTTCATTTAGACATTTTGTTGTCTGATAAATGTACAATAGGGAATCTCTGGATGGATGTGTGTTCCCCTTCTCTGAATGGAAGTGTTTCCTTCCTGGAAAGGAGAATCATCTCTCTCAGATGACCACTGAGGAGTGAAGCCCCACAAATAGCTCACCTTAGGTATGCAGGTTTGAGGAGGATATAAAGGGGTCTGAAACTGCATAGAGACAGGACTTTCCAACAGTTTTCTGCATTTTTTTCCAAGCTTTTGTTGCCATTCTCACAAATTCTTCATTCTGAAGGAGGACAAGACTGATCACACCCTCTTGGCAGGTCTAACATCCTTTGGGAAGTTCACCCAACTTCACCTTCAGGCCAAACTGCATAATCTGAGTAAAAAAACAGAAAAAAAAATTACGCATCTCACCTCTTTTAATTGTATATTGAAAGATTCTCCAGTCCCCCCACATTTGAGAATGGAAACGTTCTGAAGAGTTTCTAAAACTTCTCAAGTTTGTCAGGATTTTACATCCCCAGCCTGATTCTTTCCTCTTCTGCTTCTTCCATCCCGAAATTCAGTTTGCTTTATCTGCCTCAGGTGGGAAACAACTGCCTGGAATGTTCTGAGAATAAAAGGAAAAGCTGAAAAAAATACAGGTGACAGGGTTACTTCTGCTTAAGGATTGTTCCTCTTCAGATGCTAAAAAGCCTCACAGAGGTGCTGGGCTGCATTTTTCACCCTTCACTTTTCATGTAGAAAACAAGAAAACGTTTCTTTTGAACCAATTCAAACCTTCCAGCAGTGAAAGGCACTCCTGGCAAGAGGTTCTCAATTTGGGTAAAGAGCCAGCACCGCATTTTATGGTTTCCAGGTAGCTTTTAATATAGAAAGCATCGTGGTAGCCCCATGTAAATTGAATGGAAACTGTTTTATTTCATGCAGAAAGGTGTCTTTTTTAAAGAATTTTTTTAATTTTTCAATTAATATCCTGCTTGGAGGTTAGGGGAATGAGACCTGGGTCCTGCTCACATAAATAACAACAGAAATGCTTCTGAAAATCTGTTCTGTGTCAAAAATCAGGAAAACACATCTGTTCTGCCAGAACTATTCTGCTACTATCAGATTTATTTTTTTTTTAATTGCTAATCACTGATATTTTTATTTGCTGTGCACACCTGAAAATATTGGCTCTTCTAGAGCATAGAACATGGAGAAAAATGAGACAGGTGTGAAAAATGTCAGCCTTATGGATAAGCTTCAAATGTAGGACAGGATTTTTTCTCTACCTGAAGGCCTATAATCAAAACATGATTGTATCCTATATTGTGTTGGAATTTTTTTAAACTTATAAATTTTTGTTTCCTTCATTTTCCTTTAGCAGCTTGAATTGTTTTAAATAATGTCATGAAAATGTTCCATCTTAATTTAAAATGCACTCTTTGATTCCATGAGCTCTTCTTTGTTACTTTTGCTTTGTTATCTGCTTGGAGAAGATAAACTTTTGGGCCAAGTTCTTCTCTTCTTTCTTGGCCTGAGGCAGAGCACAGCCCTTTATGTTCAGCTTTTAGGATTCTGGGGAGGTTGTCATCCTCCCACCAGGAATTATATCCATGAAGAGCCCGAGTTCCTTTCTCCAGGAGAAAAGCAAATTACATGGCTGTAATTCTTCTTCTCTGAAGAAACCATTAAATACAGATCTTCTCTCATCTTTTCACTCTTGCACCAAAGGCTTTCAGTTTGTTAGGAAGGCTTCTGCACATCTAGAAAGGCCCTTTGGCTCAGGGTTTATCACAGAAATACACATTTCATACCCTCAGCAAGAGTCTTTAAAGTCATTTTTGAATGGTCTCTTTTGAAGAGTGCTCTGTCACCTGGGTTAGACCTTGAGAACCCAAGATCTGTATTTAATTCTACTTTTGTAGAGTGTTTCAGGTGAGTATTTGATGTACCACCTTGCTGATGGTCTGAGCCACGTGGCTTTTCCATGGAGCTGAGCTGGCGATCCCCTCGTCCCCTATCCCACGTGCAAACTCACCTGACACTGGCCTTTGCTTTAGTGAGATTTGCACTGGACATGTAATTCTGCTGCCAAAAACAAAGCTCTCCAATGCTGTGGGGACTGCTGAGCACTGCCCAGCCCTGGGTGTGCACAGGGAAATGGAACCAGGGCTCAGGCAGAGCAAATCAGCAGCCTGGGCTTTGTGGAGGAAAATCCACTGTGACAATTGCACAGCAGTAAATGGGGTCCCTTCTCCAGCTGCCTGTGGTCGATTATTCCCATAAAAACACCCAGGGAAATAAACAATGATGGCCAAAGACAAGATTAAGGGATGGGAAACATCCATATTATTAAAGATGCAGCCCTAGAAATTGCTTTATTCCTAAGTCTGACCAAAGCAGAAAATCATAAATTCATTCTAGTGCTTCCCACTTGGAAAATTTAGGAGGCTTTGCACCAAGATTTGTGCTGTTTAAATAGATGAAAATACCACAATTTTACCTGTTTTTAGGCTGGGAATCCCCAGAAATGTGGTTGCATGATCTGGTAACAGTGGGTTACTTCAAACAAGTAGTTGGTTGAATTCCTCCCGTGGATATTCTGCTGCTTTGTCTGTTGTGGTTGCACTGATGCAACAGAGAGGACACTTTGGGGTGTAGGGATTTGTGGGATTTACTCCTGCCAATCCCTGGCTTTCCCTCTGTACCCAGAGCCTGCTTTTTATTCTGGTGCCAAACCCTGAAATACTCAGCTCTGGTTTTAACTCATCCTCTGTGGTGGGGAGTACAAGGAAGGAGCTGAGGATGGATCTGTCAAACAGGGAATACAGCAGGAATGTGAAAATAAGTAGAAAATTGTCACCGTTACTTGCTGCAATAGTCGATCCAGGTCCACATCATTTTCTGGGTGGTTTTAAGTGCTCTGCATAAAGATAAAATATTAATATTTTTAATCTCCAGTTATAAAAAACTCAACATTCTTTATCACTGTGCTAAATTTATACAAACTTTCATTACAGAACAAGTCAGCTATTATATTGGAAGAATTATTTTCTCAAACTAGTGCACTGACAATCCTGGGTTTGTAGACAAAACGGAGTCATATATTGAATTTTAAAGTTTTTTTCTGTTTTGGTTGAGTGTCATCCCCGTCCCCCTCCCTGAAATTCCAATTGAGTGACTGAATTTTTCTCCCCCAGCATAATTTCAATCTCAGTAGGAAAAAAAAAAAGAGTGGAGATTAGTTATATCAAGCATTCCAGCTGATTTTATTTACCTCTAAATAAACGGTTTAAACTTTAAATAAACTATTATTTCAAATCTTCTTGTTTAAAGTGATGCAGCTCCACTGCCTCCCACGGAGCTGCCTCATTTTATCCAGGCAGAAAACTCGAATCTTTTCTAAAAAAAACATTGAAAAGGGAGACACCTTGATTCCAAGTGAAGTAGAAGCGTGTGCACGGTTGATTTGTTGTTTTTCATGATTATTCCTGTCAGTTATGCAACTGTATCCATACTTTAAGCAACTTGTCTCGTTCTTTCCTCCGTTACAGATCGAAGTAGTCAATACTTTCAAGAGTGGCACTTCCTTTCAGGGGGCTCTCAGGAGACAGTCCTCCGTCACAAGCCAGACCCAGGATGTAACCAATATTTCTAGCCCTAGTCACGTATCGTTATCCAATGCTCTTTCCTCTCCTACCAGCACCTCTGCTGCTGCGGCTGGGCGTGAGTGTGAATTCTTACTGCACCCGACCCCCAGAGATGCCAACTTAGCCAGAGTCGCTCCAGAGCTCCTCTGCCCCTCCCTGGGCTCTGCTCCCACCTCAATCAATTAGCTCATGACATGATTACTTTGTGTACAGTGGGTACTCCCCAGGAGCTGCTCTCTCTTTAGCTCTGTGCTAACTCACAGTGAGGACAGGAATTTACCGTCATTTTTTTACCCATTGCCAGGAGGTTTTGGTTTTATTTGAGGGCTCTCTGTCAGGTTTTCTCAGTCTCATTGGGTGTGTTTTCTACTGCATGTAAAATACAGACTTTTAATGATCCTAGAGCTTTTCAGATATCAGATCACTCCACCAGGAAGACTCTCTGTAAGAGAGTCCAGGAAAGACAGGAACGAGAAACAGGGAATCTAGTTTATGATGCCAGGCTTAAACTTTCCATGGAAAACTTATTTAAGTTTAATTTAAATATTTTCTCTGTCTTATTTAGATGTAGATTTATTCTCTCTATCTTATCTAGACTTAGATTTACTCTCTCTGTCTTATTTAGATGTAGATTTATTATCTCTATTATATATCTTTATTATAATCTCTAAATTCACTGGCAGGTAAGCATTGAAGAAGGAGGAGACAAGCTAAAGGATAGTGTTGAAACAACAAAATTGGTGTGGTAACAAATTTCTTAGAAGAAACAGATTTCTGCATCCAGAAATCCTGACACAGCTTGGTTTTAGATGCAAAATATCCAGGGAAGAGGTACTGAAGTGGATGAAAAATCTTTGAGGCAGCTGATAAGGAAGGGCTGCTTCAGTAACAGAAAAATTTCACTTGCTCAGAAAGTTCTAACTCTGTTTCTAGATTTTTATTTATTCAGGACCGTGAGTAGCTCTTTTTTATTACAGCGTTAAATGAATATTTAATGTGTATAACTCAGTTTAAATGCTTGTCAAACACTTCAGAAGATAATGGGGCATATTCCTTATACAAGTCTGAGTGAGAAGCTGCCCAAACAGAAGAAATTGCTCTTATCTGTCTGGCCACCAGAGACAGGGAAAGCAAACAGAGATGGGCATAAAATTCCAGAACTCCTGCAGAAAACAGGAAGCTTGACCTTTCCATTCTGTTGGAGTGCAAGCCCCCTCAGTATCTGCACACCAAACATCCAGACAGGAATTTTATAGCAGCAATTAAAATCTTATCAAACAATCACAAAATAGTCTCAGAAGTGTTTGTCCATCAGACAGATCTCTGAAGGGTATTTTTGCTTTTTTCATGTCTGGTTGATTTGTTGGTTGGTTTTTAAAGTGTTTTCATGCAACAGCAGAGCACAGCAGCAGAAGATTTGTTGGATTTAAAGAGGAAACTTCATTTTTTGTTAAAGCTGTTTAGATTCCAATTTTGGCAATTGCTTCTTGGAGATTTTTCTATATTTTCCTATTTTTGTCTTGGGAAGTTTGGTCTGAGAACAACCACAGCTATTCCAGGACAGCAGCAGGATCAGGAGACATGGAGGTTCCTGAGCCCAGGTTCCCTCTTTTCCACATTGAGCTGGGCACAAGAGCCCAGAATTCCAAAGGAACCTTTCACCCAGGGAATGATTGCCTGGGATAGAATCCGAGCAGGAAACTGGGAGCAGCTCCCTGTGCTGTGGTGTTTCCCTAACAGGCTGTAGCCAGCACTCTGGGAGGAAAGATTTAATAAAATTTAAATAGACTATTTATCTTCCCTCTCTACTCTCCACTGCAGCAAAGCAACAAGAATTGGATGTTCTCGTGTCTTGAAAAGGGCCTCACTCGTTTATGGGCTGAAGTTAATTAATAGGAGAAAGCAGAATCTGCTCCAGCCTTTGTCACATTTCATTTGGAGAAATAAAACAGGAATCCAGAGCTCCTCGTGGTTATAGCCACATTTCTTCAGTAAAATAAAAGCCAGGTGATGGATTTCTTCCATCAAAACTTCCCAGAGATAAGGATCTCTGTGGCAGAGGGCAGTTAGAGATGAGGATTTTAAAATGATTCTTTTGACTGTTGGTGCTTTATTACCACAGCAGAATGTGCTGTGGTAATAAAATAATAAAGCAGAAATTATAACACTTAGGGACAGTTTTGATTTATTCATCCAAAGACTCAAATTTATGAATGGCAGTGAAAAAAACCCCATCAAGTAAAACCCCCATGGATTTTATTTTTAAATGGGGTAGTTACAGTGGGTTGCTCGTATTCAAGAAGCTGGAAAACCTTTCCTAATCCAAATTTCCTAGAAATGGGGGATGTTTTGGTGAACTGGCATTTTTTGAGGAAATCCCAGTTGCAAAATGCTCACCTAGGGCTGCTTTTCAGCTCTGTGCTTAAAATGTGTGTGGGCACACAGGACTGGCTGCTTTCCTCTGAGCTGCTCAGAACGGCTCAAACCACATTTTCTTCTTCCTATGGGGTGGAAGGGAATAATGGGATGATTGTATTTCTATTTTGGAAGCCTTTCCCAGTCTTCAGGATTGTTAAAAATATATGTAAATATATTATGGGGAGAATCAAGGGAAAACCTGGAGAGTACAGGAAGGAAAACAGGGTCTAGTTCTTGAAACTTGCTCAGGATGTTGCAATAATTGTGATATTTCAGGTGTCATTTTGGGTGTCCAAAATGGAGAGGGTCTGATATCAATAAATAAATTCCTATTAAAAAATAGGAATCACATGATGCTCTGTTGATATATCAGTCTAATTTTAACAGAGCATTTGTGAAGTTCTTTATTAATTGTAATTGTGTTCCTTTTCAATATAAAGTGCATTGTGACACCTTGCCAATCTGTGACATGTCTCCTGTAGGTTTATAATAACATTTTGGATTTTTTTTTTTAATTGAATGTTTATCTAGCATTTTTGGGCAAATTAATGTTTGATTCAAAGCTTAGTGCTTGCTTAAAGAAAAATCTGCCTGTGGAATGCATCCTCCCCTAGAGTGGTTTGTGAAACAGATTAATAAGTTATTACCTGTAATTAGCAGCTATTTACAAATATGGCCCATTCAGAATTGTGGAATCCCTTAATTAAAAGCAGTTTGTACAGGGGAATATTTAATACAATACTAAAGTTTCCCTAGTGAGCCATCAGGGTGTTTTTGCCAACAACAAATCACAAATTTCTGGATGTCATCATTAATGGATAACAGGGAGGTCCTTGAGTCTCTTATCTCTTTTGAAAGATGTTGCAGCTTTAAATAAACAGAGCAAAAAATTCCTGCAAATGAAAACCTGGCACTTTGTATGTTCTGATAAAATTAGGAAATTCATTTAAGTGCACACTAAATATGTGCTCCTGTTTAATATGCAAACTTTAAAGCTGCAGAAATAGAAAATATGGGGAAGTTAAGCAAGGTGGCCTCAGATGTTCCCAGACACAGATTTACACACATGAACTTCTATCATTTGAAAGCTCTGCCACTGCAGAGTTAAGGGTGGGTTCAGGTACAAGCTTTGATGGATTTGTGTCTTATATGCTTTTCTTTCTATGTTTTATCTGGGGAGGTGGAGCATCTTTTTTTCCTTTTGAAGCTCAGAATTAGTAACACCAAAAATGATCTTCTGATTAAAACTGAATATGTGATTAAAGCTTTTACCACTAAATTTTTTAGTTGGGTAGAGGGTGAGAATATCTAACTGTACACAAAGTAACCAAGTCTTTTTCCTACTGTGTATTCCTGTTTCTCAGATATCTGTGTTAGCAATAGATAACCTCTGAAAAAGAGCACAGTTTCAGATTTTCCAAGAAAGACACACATTTAATATTCCCTTGTACTTGCTCTTCCTCTCATTCTCATATGGAGCTTCCCAAGTGGAAGCAGTCAGGAACTGCAGGTCCCTTAAAAAATCTCCCCTTTCTTTCAGAAAATATTTGAATTTTTAAGTTTGGGCAGCATTAAGGGAACAAAAAACAAACCAAACCAAACCCCAGCAACAGGAGACCTCCCAGAGTTCCTTTTTCTTGTCTCTGATGAGAACTGTCTTGTCAGAGGTTTTTAGAAGTGAATATTTAATGGAATCACTTGAAACTTTTTGCTTCAGGAACCCCAGCAACATTGGCCTCAAATGACCCATTTGTATGGTGAGAGGAGACAATACAGTCACGACTCCAAATTTCATAGCAGCAGTTAAAACCTCACCAATCAATCAGAAAATGCTCTCAGAGGTATTTGTCCATCACAGAGATCTCAGAAGGTTTTTTTTTGGCTTATTTTTCTGTCTGGTTGATTGGTTGGTTGGTATTTAAGAAGTGTCTCCATGCAAGAGCAGAGCACAGCACCCTTAAGGCTGGATTTGTGCCCTGCCTCACTCGTTGGACAATCCACAGCCTCCAGAATTTGGGCTTCATTTGCAGGGCAAATAAACCTTTCCCATTCCAAAGAATCCTTGCGGTTCCTGCGATGTGCCGAGGACGAGCGGTGTGCAGGGAGCAGTGCTCAACACCCAGCACTGCTGGGGTGTCACTGTGGCAGGAAATGTCATTTACAGGCTGAGGTGTCACCCAGGGGGTCGCTGTGGACTGGCACGAGGCCACAAGAGCCTGCAAATTGTGTCAGTGAGGCACTCAGCAAGCTCAGTTCCAGTGGCTCTCACAGCCCATTTCCCAAGAGAGCATCTTAAAGGTTTCATTGAACTGCTTGCAGTCTGTTGTGTATGAAGAGCTTTTATATTTCTTACATATTTAATTTTCTATGAAGGAAATAATTCAGAATTCCGAGCTAAAACTTGAGGTGAAGTCTTGTTTGGATGGAATTTTTTCATGAAGGAAAATGGGAAAAAATTTCTTTTAAAGAAATCTTCTATTTTAATGAATGTTGAGGCAAAGATTGCTGCCCAATATTGATCTACATTCAAATCACAGACCAAGCCCAGTGGGCATTCTCTGTACAGGAAGGTA